TCATTTCGATAAATTTCGATTTTGAGCGAGATTTATTTACCTTGAGTTGTGCAGGCTCTCAAATAGTTTATTCAGTTAAAAGTATTTAAATTTTTTGGCATTCCCGACCCTACTGCCCCTCTCTCTTCCTCGGTCTCCAGCTCGAGGCTGGGCTGAGCGTATCTCCTAGTCGGATACTGCCCATTAGAGTCTTGAGAAAGTTGTTGTCAATGACAGAGTCTGTTTAATATGCGATTTGGGCCAAATAGATTTTGCGAAGAGCTCAATAAAATCCAGAGGCACGAAAAAATCACTTCACAAGGCTGAGACTCGATTTTGAAGCTTAGCCCGGGCGGGACGGGGCGGGGCAGGGCCATGAATTTTGGCATAAATCATAGGAGAGCGAACGGAGGGGAGTTGTAAGTAGATGGAGGCAGGCAGGAAACGGCGCAGACGAAAAGACATCGAGACAAGTTCACAATCGAACGGCAAAAATCCAGTAATTCGTTTGGCTTTTACCGCCAGCGGCTAAAGTAAATGAAGGCAGGCCCCCCTTCCCCACGCCGCACTTCCCCGCACTCATCAGGCGCGTGTCATGTCGGAACATGTACGTGCCGAGTGATAAGCTGCGTCCGGGCAACGCTGGGTAGCCCGGGCAAAGCCGAGAAGCGTGCAAACGCATAATATGCAGATCAAACACATTTCACAGCTGCAGGCGTTGACAGCGCCAGCGAGCCCGATACAACAATAGCGCCAGTGACCGGCTGTGAGCTACCCTGTAGCCATTGGCAAAGTCTTTGGTCTTGTGCTGCGTGTCCTGCTTAAACCAATCCTTGGGCAAGTATCAGAGCGTGAGGAAATCTGCGTTTGATATTCGAGAAGCTATATTCCAAATTTGCAGTCTCTAACTTTTTTGATCTTTACAAAATCATCGACGAAAATCGATATTAATCGATTTATCGTATGGAAAATGGGAAAGATATCCAAGGTGTGATATATTCTAGACCTCCGTTTGGTATTCGAGAAGCCATATTCCAAATATACAGAGTCGAACTCTTTTGACTGCCGATAATTGTTTAAAAAACCATCTCATCGATATTTATCGATTTTTATCAGAGAATTGTAAACGTTCTTTTTAGGTAATACAATATTTATCGAGTCTTAGGGTTTTTTTCTTTTGATAAGTCTTTTATATTCCACATATACAATATGCAACTCTTTTTATCAAAAATCATCGCAGGAAATCGATATTTATCGATTTCTTTAAATTCATTAATAAATACCCTGCCCTGCCCTGTGCAGCTTATAAGAATCTAGCCGTGTCTCTTCCTCAATCTCTGCCCACTTTCTCGTAAGTTACACGCCTGTTATGCCCAGCTTGAGCCCACGAAATGTCTACAGGGTATTAGAGCATATACTTAAGTCGAGCAGAAAGCAAACTTAAAAGCAAAACGCGCAGCATTGGCTCAGACAATTAAGTGTAAGAGAGTGCGATGATCTATCCAGCCCAGAGCACGCGATGTGGGTGGAAAACAATCACAGCTCCATTTACGTGCATGTACGTAGATGACACACACACACACACACACACACACGTATGCACACACTCGCACATTAACATGCAATAGGTTGACGTATTTAAATTGAATACGTGGCGAGGAGGAATCTGCCAACTGGCAGCGCGGCAGATGCAAATCGTGTTTATAGCAAATAACTAGTTTCATGTCACATTTGACACTGTTTAATCAACGTGCAGGTGGGCAAAGGTGTGGCAGGGTAGGTAGAAGGCAGGCTAAGGGGGAGGGTGCTCGACGGTTTTCAATTGTTGCGACATTTCCATAAAACCACAAATGCTGCATACTCTTAGGCGACCAGTGTTGCGAAATGTTGCGAGGAAAGCAGCATTGCGGCTAGGCCCCTCTGAAAGCAGCCAAATTTAGTTAGAAAATAGCTAAACTAGCTGCCTGCATGTGTGTGTGTGTGTGTGTGTGTGCACATATGGCTCGACTTGACTTGCGGGAATCGACAATAAAGCATCAGGAGGAAGGAAGGCAGCTTGTGCGTTTGACAACTACATTGACAGGACACCGATTTCAATAAGGAAACGAGAGGGATGGAGATCAGGGGAGAGAGCGAGACAGAGAGAAAGAGAGAGAGAGAGAGAGAGGAGTGTGTGAGAAGGGCGAAGACGTTGGAAAATGCTAAGCTCGCTAACAACCAAGCGCACAACAAAGCAATAAGAAAATGGAAAAGAATAATTGTTTGCGGGTAGCCGAACATTAAATACCCTATAAAAGCTAAGCTAAACAAGGGTTTTTGCTTCATTAAATACCCTATAAATGCGCCACACAAGGGTATTACATCAATAAACATTCATTTAATGCAAGGATATTTACATCATTAAATACCCTTTAAATGTCAAGCCTAACAAGGGTATTAACATCATTTAATACCCTATAAATGTGTCGATTTATTTATGTGTTTATTTATTTATTTCGACAAAAACGCGAAGTTATTAAGTAAGAAAATTTATACTTAATATATAGAGTGTTAAGTAGATGGGATAAAGAGCCAGTGTTGGGCAATCTGGGGTAAATGTTTAGCCTGTCTGGCAATTTATTCCCCTACCATGCCTGGGAATGACCCGTGACTTTCGGAAGGTATCCTGACTTTTCGTAGTACACGAAAAAAAAAATTGTGTGGAAGTTATAAAGCTGAGCAAAGCTATCCATATGTGTGCCCAGGCATATCGCTTGGGTATACCTCTGCATATTATTATTATTTATTTCCTCTAATTAATAAAGAAAAGTGAAACATAGACATAGACGCATGTCCAGAGTTTCATGATAACCAACTACCTTTAGGCAGCTGAAGCTGTCTCATATCTCATGCCAAGCTTGTGATACCCTGCTGCGAAGAGTATTCAAGAAAATAAACAACTGACGGCAAACGACGAGCTGACAGGTATCTGTGTGTGTGTGTATGTCTGTAACGGGCAAGGACTTTAGCCAGTTTAAATGTCCCCGTCCCTGTGCTTGTCCCTGTCCCTGTCCCTGTCCATGTCGAACTGCTTGTCCGTGTCCATGTCTGACTAATGTTTGCCCAGCACGCATATGGCGACTTTTTGGCTTACCGATGCTTCTCCCATTGCCTGCCCTGTTCGAGTGTTGGTTCAAGTGTTTGCTCGATATGGAGCAAGTCACACGCACACACACGCACTTATTCTTGTTTTTCATCGTGCGAATCGAATTTGTAATTCGAATTCGTGTTTATTTAAGCCACTCTTGCGACTCGTGCGATCTGGCAGCACTGAACAATTCCGATGCACTTGTTAAGTTGGCTGCGCCCCATACTAAAAAACCAATTGCGTGCCAGTGTTGCATAACACAACATGTCACAGAGCAGAAATTAATAGGCAATAGGCAATCTGATTGTCCGTAGGTTGTCTTAAGTAGGTTGTCTTACGTAGGTTGTCTTACACAGGTTGTCTTATGTAGGTTGTCTTACGTAGGTTGTCATCATATAATTTGGGTATAACTCAAAACTAATAAGAGTTAGATACGCCAAACTTGATAAGTAGGTTGTCTTACGTAGGTTGCCTTTTGTAGGTTGTCTTACGTAGGTTGTCATCCTATAATTTGGGCATAACTCAAAAGTGGAGGAGGAGGAAGCACAACCACCGCATAGTCGGTCACTCCCGACTGGAGCACTTGAGTGTGCTGCCTGCGATTTGGGATTGGGATTGGGGCAATCGGATTGCGGCCAAGATGAATTGTGGAAATGTGTTAAGTGTATTTCTTGGATTTATCGGATGTCGCCGTGCCTATTGTTTGCGAACAACTTTCGACAACAAAAGCGTGTGCTAATGATAACTGTCGGTTTATCTATCTATCTCTCGCCCGCCCACACACGTGTTTAACAAGGGGCAGGAGTGAAACGATGAGGGCGAAAGCTTTGTTGTTCATTTTTTATGAGCGCCATTTATCGTCCTTTTGCCTCGCACACAGACAACCACACAGTTGTCTGAACTATGTGAAATTCCTTAGCATTTTTTTTCCCTACATTGTTCTGTCATTTTTCTTCTGCAGCCTGCTTGTAGTTATCCTTGTTCGTCCCCTCCCACGTCCCACGTCGCCAGTCTCTGTTGTCTTTTCTCGTCATTTCCCGTTTGATTTAATCATAATTCTGTCAAAGCACGTCAAAATGCCCACCGTCAGCCCCCCCCAAAGCCAGCCAAGCCGCGAGCCACAGGACATGGACCTGGAAGTGCTTTCCGTAGCTGCAAATATTGTTATTCTCTATACACTGTTTACAGCGTACAAGCGGGTATATTGGCTGGCTGCCACATGCTTCTGTTCGACCGCAGGTTGTTCGTTTCCCTCATATCTAAGATCTCAGATCAGAATGTGCTCTGGAATTTCTTCGTTCTCAAGACAGACTTAACAATTGCAAGGCATAAGTTTTGACTTAGATTCAATTTCTAATTGATGATATTCCCCCTCAATTCTTTTGTTAAATGACCCTCATATTGATTTAAGTTTGACTTGAGTTTAAGTTTCGATTATATATTCACAAATTGATATTCCCTTTCGATTCTTTCGATTTTATGACCCTCATATTGACTTAAGCCTAGGCTTAGATTCAATTTTCGCAAATTGATTCCTTCGGTTTTATGCCCCTGTCCCTCTGCAAAGAAAAGTTTATAAGCCAAAAACTGCTCTACAGCGAACAGAGTATCGTGCAGTCAGTTGCAGCCGACTGCAAAAAAATCAAAAGCTTGCCCTTAAACTGCATTTACTCAACATTTTGATTCAATTCGTGTGCGCGCACATCCTTCCGCTTCGACCAGGATGCGATCCATGTTCAACAAATATGCCCCAAAAAAAAAAAGGAAAACATTTTGCCAGCGACAACTGAAGCCCTCAACTTGGCAAAGCGAATGACGCAATTTATTAACTAAATTTTTATAAACAAAAAAAAAAGAGAAAAGCAAAATTCGTATGATATCATGAGGAAGCCCACGCACACGCGTCTGGCCCAGCTCCGGCTTCAGACTAAACAGCCTTGACTTTGGCCTGCTTGGATTTGACTGCAAAATGGTTTGTGAGCTGCAGTTGATTTGATGCGTTTATCTATTGGCTCACCTGTGATCAGGGCGTCCGCATCGCTGGGCGCCGGCGGCAGTTCGGCGAGGGGCGTGGCGCCGCTGGCCTCCGCCTGCGCCCGTTGGAGCACCTGTTTGCGCAGCTTGCGCAGATAGGCCGCCTTGTAGGCATCGCTGGGCTTGCCGCCCAGCCCGTAGCTCACCTCCAGCACCGTCAAGGGAATAACGGTCGAGGAAACGGCCACCAAATCTAGAAGGCGTGGCAGGTCAGACTAAATCCAAATTACCAAGTCCAAGTCCAAGTCTAGTTCGAGCAGCAACTCACCCGGCTCGTACTTCTCCTCCGAGTTGCGCTTATATAATGTGGTCATGGGCGCGACGCCTGCGCAAACCAGATCCAAGGCCAGCGCCAATGTTAGCCCAGTTGCCAGCCATGGATAAGCCCTCATCTTGTACGATCCAAAGAGTCGCTTTTTCGTCTGCAGCTGTCGAGAACTGATCACGAACTAAGCGAACGATTCGCAACTGTTTGCGGATTTTTGCGCGGGCGTTCAATTTCCATCATAAAGACATTATACAGCACTACAGCTGTGCTGTAAAATGTCATTTGCCATATTAAAAATTATAAGATTAATTCGGCAAAATACACGTTAGACCAGTATTGCTGTGCTGTGTTTGAAAAGCGCATGCAAAATAGGGGGCAGCATTTAAAGTTGGTTTTGGCTTTTTGCGCGGCCGTTGACAGAGTTGACATTTTCCGTACGAAAAACATTATACATTATATTAGCTGTATTAAAATGTCTTTATTGATATTTAAAAAAAAAAATTTAACTAAATTTCAACAATTAAGTCGCCAAAAACACGTTAAACCAGTATTGCGGTGCTGCGTTTAAAAAGCGCATGCAAAATAGGGGGCAGCATTTAAAGTTTGCTTTGCCGCCACTCCCAAATAGCGTCAGAATTGACATTTTCTGCAACAAAAATATTAGACAGCACAGGTGTATTAAAATGCCACAATCAATAATTAAAATCACATTTTGTTTAATAATTAAATATCAACAATAAGATCGACAAAAACACGTTAAGTCAGTGAAAAGCGCATTCAAAATAGCTGGCTGTTTTGCAGCAATCAGACTTTGTCACGCTGCGCGCACCACAAGGCATACAGCTTGTTAGCATGCTGCCCGAGTTGCGTGCACAAATATCGATGTGTAGTTAGGCGAATTGGGTTAGGAAATAGCGGAACTATTCAATGGCATGTGTATCACACCATAATGTATCGATTAGTTATCGCTGGGCCACCACAATCAATCGGTATTTTGGCTGTGTTTTGTTTTTTAATGTTCATTGAGAAAATAATTTGCCATCATCAAATGCAAATGGAACGGTGACATAAATGAGTTGCACAAACCAAAACGTGGCTGTATAGACGAACGTGCGCCGAGTGTAGCTGAACACAGTAGAATAGTGTGTAGAAATTGCAGTAAATTACAACCGCAACAAAGACCCACGGCCAGGAAAGCATGAGCTGAAACTGGACAAGCACACCAACACACACATACACACACAGACAGACAGACAGAAAGACAGCGAGCCACACAAAAAGATAATTTCAAGGCAACGCTGTGCAACGCAGGGGCAAGAAACTTTAAATAAGGTGACAATTTCGACGGCGACAAAGACAATAACGACGTGTGCAGGAAAACTAATTGATCTGCTCTGCCAACGTCCGCGTGCTGATTGGCACATTGCTTGCTGGAACCAGCGGAGTCACGTGTATGTATGTGTATGCGTGTGCCTGTATGCACATGCATGTTTGTATGTGTTGTATGCTAACTAAAAATTGCTAGCTAAAATTGCAAGCAAGCAATGCAACAACAACAACAACAACAACAATATTAACAGCTACAATAACGGAAACATTGTCAAGCCTTGCCAGACCCAGCCGCGCAGCAGCAGCAGCATCACGGCGTCCCAGCAGCAGCAGGCGCACACACACCAACACAACAACAACAACAACAACTACAGCAGCAGCAACAACAACAACAATATGAGCACAGTGTTTATAAACTCGCGCAAAAGCCCAAATGTGCTTAAGAAGCAGGGCACAGACCAATGGGTCAAGCTGAATGTGGGTGGGACCTATTTTCTAACCACCAAAACGACGCTTTCCCGTGACCCCAATTCGTTTTTGTCGCGTCTTATACAAGAGGACTGTGATTTGATATCAGATCGGGTGAGTTCCACACACACACACCCACACACACACACATGCACACATCTATTCATATATATATGTGCATGTGTATGTATTTATTTATTTAATTACACATAAGAAAATGCGCTTATATTTAGGCATACAGTAAACGCTCCTTTAAGCGAACATTTGCCGTTTCTTTGTTCGCTTTTCAAAAAAAAAGAAAATAATCAAAGAATGCACAAAAAATATATACGGATAGCAATTATTGTTATATTTTTGTTAAATGTATTGAACTTTGTTTTCAGTTTTCTTTTTATTTCTTTTCAATTTCTTGCAAAGATTGGAAAATTAACGTCTTTATATCTTAATCTATCAACGGCTTTAACGGCCCTCATATATTTATATATTAATAGTTTAAAATTTATGTGGAATGCATTTACGTATTTATAGTGGGCATAGCCAGTGCTGCCAGCTTCCGCTTAAAAAAAAAAGTGGCCGAATCCAATTTAAAAAGGAGCTAAAAATAGCCTAATTCGCTTTCTGAGCGCAAATTGGCACCAAACAGGGTTGTTATTGCTTGTCATTGAAAAAACCTCAATCGGTTACAATTTACAACTGCTTCCGGCTGTTAACCTGTGTGCACGGCCAAATGTAGCTAGTAAATAGCTAAAATGGCAACCTTGCTCATAGCTGCCAGCTATGTGAATAGTCATAAACCTAACACCAAGAATTGTCAGCCCATGAGTGCACACACGCACACAGGCACACATACACACACAGTCTCTGCAGGTCATTTCACGAACAATTACAAGAACAACAACAACAACAATAGGGACTGCAGCAGCCAGGGCTGTCACAGAGCGCCTTCTACGTCGACTGCGACGCTGGCGTAGTGTTTTTTTTTAGAGCAGTGCAGAGTTAAATTGGGAAATATTCGTGAGACGACGCGTTTAATAAAAAGGAAATTTGAGAAATTTCGAACAGCGCAAATAAATAAAGGGAAATTTAGCATTAAATTCAACAGCTTGGAGCTCATAAAGTGTATAAAGCATGTTTCTGATTACTTTGAACGCCAAGTTGTTCGTCTGTCTGTTTCTCGATAAAAAGCTTTATAGGTCCATTTATCAGAGCACTTTATCATATAGAAATCTTTATCAAACTCGTTAGCTCTGAGCCATATCTTGTCGATATCAGAAGAAAGTAAATAGAGTTTTTGTAGGGAAAATTATTGTGCGTTATTTTGGTAATTTTACCAAACTCCGCAATTTATCTTCACAAATCTGCCTCTAAAACTATCCGGATTTTCCAGCTTTAGTTAGTCTATCTTCTTTTTAGACCAAGTCCTTGGCGGCCTGGTTGTCGTTAGAGGGTAGCGGGAGGGGAAAGGGTATTGCCTCGGAGAACAATAACATAGAAAACGGCATTTTTCTATAGCGCAATAAATTTGGCCAAGTCTTAGCCATCATAAGATATATATATATATATATATGTGTGCATATCTAATATACACACAAATATGCATTTGGCAATTTCCATTGGCCGAGTTTCTGAACAAAAGGCGAACCGAATCGAACCGAACCGAACCGAAAGAATGCCTATTATAAATTCGCAAATGTTGTTGCTGATGTTGCCTTTTCCGTATTGCCGATTGTCGATTGCACAAATATATTACAATAAAAAAAAGTTGTGCATGTTTGTTTTTCTTGAAATGTTTGATTGTTTTACTTGCTGTGCGCCCGCTTTTGTTATTGATTAAATTCGTGCGGCCCTCTCCTCCCTTCTCGCCTCTGGCCTCTCGCAACTCATGCCAAGGCAGCCCGCCAATTAAAGCACCCACATATATACCATATACATATATATATATATATATATAGATATACCCTATATAACAAATATATATATACATGCACTCGGCATACAGAAAGCCAGCCTGGCACCTAGATGAATGAATGAATGGTTGATGGGAGCATGCGACTGCGCCTGCTTTAGTCAAATTGTTCTCAAATTGTTGAAAAACCCAAAAAAAAAAAAATTAGCAAGATTGCTCTGCCCGACTGGGAGATACCCTACGAGCTGTAGTAGCACAAATTGCAGCTTTTTTCTTTCATTCTTCTTTAAATTTCAGACTGGAATCTAGAATTCCGGCTTCTACTTATAACTTATAACTCTTATAACTTGCGAGTTATGCCTAAAAAACGATGTCTGAAATATTAGGGTAAGGTCTTCTTTTTTTAATGAAACTACATTTGAAGTTTCAAGACGGACTTGGCCAGATTGGCTCAGGTCTTCTTTGAAGTCCGAAAGACCCCTTCCATGGGTACAGGGTAAACACAGGAAAATAAGTTTTCTTGGGGCTGCCGCAAATGAAATCTCCTTGCAGCATATAAACACACAACAATCTTTTAAAAAAGCAACTCAATTTCGGAAGATTTGCTGCCTTTAGAAGTTTTATAATATAGGAATTCCGATAGGCTCATATTGAAGCTCATAATTTGCAAGCTTATTCAGATATGTTTCCCAATGCAAACACTATCCGATAGCTTCTATGAAAGTATATGGCATAATGTGGCCTATCTATGCCAAGTGTTGACAAGATCTGGATCAGGAATTTATATATACCTTGTATTACCCAGGCTCATACTATCTATCTTCATACCATGTATTAATCGGGACAAACATTTTTCTAATTATAAAGAACAATTTGTCTCTCTCAACGTTACGTACATGCTTACAAAGTAGGCATACACCTGCTGCAAAGAGTATTAAGACCGAAAGTCATATATAGTCAAGAACAAAAGCTGCCCGACTAACTGGCTGGCGGGCTGGCGGACTGGCGGGCAGCTCTTGTGTACATCGTTTAGCATAATAAAAGAGTACACAATGGGAATATGTGCACAGAGAAATGTCATTACTGTAGAATGCAACTCACACGCACATACTTATATATGGATATATATATATATATATAATGCATGGCCCATCAAGTAGAAAAAAAACAAAATTTCGTTTGTCGGCCACAAATCTGCCCCCTAGCCCGGGCAGAGGCATTGACTCAATGCTTGGCTGCCTCGAAACTGAAACTGACACATTTCCAATAAGAGCTGCACACACACACACACACACACACAGAGAGAGAGAGACACGTCCACCCACGCCCATTCGCCCTCTATAAGCACTAGACACATGTTTTGTCAGAGTCATGACTAATTGGTTTCCTTTTTTCCGCTGCCTGACTTGATTTGCATTCGCATTCGGATTTGGATTTGCATTTAGGATGAGACGGGCGCATATTTAATTGACAGAGATCCCAAGTACTTTGCGCCCGTGCTCAATTATTTGCGCCACGGCAAGCTCGTGCTGGACGGCGTCTCTGAGGAGGGTGTGCTCGAGGAGGCCGAGTTCTACAATGTGACGCAGCTAATAGCGCAGCTGAAGGAGTGCATCAGCCACAGAGACCAGGTGAGTCCGCATCGAATATGCACAGCTCAACTTAATTTTGATTTATATTCTCGCCCAACGCAGCGACCGCATGCGGACAAAAAGCGCGTCTATCGTGTGCTGCAGTGCCGCGAACAGGAACTGACGCAGGTAATGCCCTTAGCTCGAGCAGTGCATGAATAAATTCATTTGCATCGAGCACGGTAACCCATCCACCCATTCAATCGATAAAACCGAAAATAGACTGAGGTTTGAATAAACGACTGAATGAATCAGTGTCTCAAGTTTGAAGTATTTGCCTTAACTGTTGGCCAGTATTAACTTGTCTTTATCCTTTTCAGATGATCTCAACGCTGTCGGATGGCTGGCGTTTCGAGCAGCTTATCAGCGTCGGCATGCAATACTCCAACTATGGCCCGTTCGAGAACAACGAGTTCCTCTGCGTCGTCTCCAAGGAGTGCGGCTCCACAGCCGGCCGTGAGTTGGAGCTCAATGATCGCGCCAAGGTGCTGCAGCAGAAGGGATCGCGAATGTAAGCAAAACGGCAACAGGGCATCGAGCGACAGGCCAAATACCTTATCAGTCCACAGTTCACTTAACCTATACACCTACCACCCACTCGCTCTTCCAAACCCAATCAGGCCATTTGGCCTGACATTGCCCAATTACGAACTCATTAGCAGCTGATAAGCTGATAAAGCGTGCGGCTATCTGTTTCCGTTTTGTTACGGTTTTCTAATTGGACTCGAAAGCTTGACATTTTTTCGCATCAAAATGCCCCACCGAAAGACCAGAACAGATTTTGGCAATCAAATGCATCTAAACGCCACAAAAGAAGCTGAATTCAAAAAACAAAAAAAATAATATATAGAATAAAAAAGCGCACATTAATTATTGTCCAACTAGGACAAAATATTTGTCAATTAGATCTAAGCGTACATTCAAAATGACAACTGCTTCTGTTCTCAGCATTGGCTAGAAACTAGTTTCAATATTTACCAAACACACACACACACACGCACACTCACATAAACACACCGACAAGACGCAGAACAATTTTTCAGCATAGATCTATGTATAACTTTTTTATATTCTTTGCGTATTTCAACATTTACATAGCTGCATTTATGTTGGTACAGTGTGCGCTCGATAAGGCGAAGCCGTCTGCTTCAAAAGTATTTTATGCTTTTTCGCGATGCATTTTCTCAAAAGCTTTCGCAATTGCTTACAAAAATAATTTTAGAAAAAGATTTGGAATCTGAATTCTTAATTTAATAAGCGATATCTCCTTTTAATAAGCGTACACACAATTTCTGAATACAAAACAAAAATTTGTCAGCGCAGTTTTTCACTTTTTTTTTTCCATACATTTTTTTTTTGAATGTAGCTTTAGGTTTGGTTAGTATTAACACACACACACACTCACACACGCACACACACATTAGTTAGATAAGCATAAGTTATCCTGTTTATTGTTTCGAGTACCTAATAATTGAAGCCCACCTTTTTCTCTCTTTCTTTCTCTTTCTCTCTCTCTCTCTCTCTCTCTCTCTCTCTCTCTCTCTGTTTAATTGCAGTCTTGGAATTTAAGCAATGCTTGTAGAGCGTGTGTATGCCATCCAAAATCAAAATCAAAAACAAAAACAAAAACAAAAAATAACTCCCATCATCCAACACCAAGCTTAAATAATACACCACAACCAAGCACAACATCATCAACAACAAAAACAACCAGCAAAACGGGAAAACAAGAATTAAACAAAAAAAAAAAAAATACAAAATAACCAAAATCATAAAACAAAAACCAAAACAACAAAACATCAAAAACAGCAATAGCAGGGATCCACTTTTTGGCAGAGCTGCATTCAATTGGAAAATATGCCAGCAGTCAGTCAGTTATCAATTCAAATCAATCAATCAATCAGTCAATCAGCGTTCACTAAGCCGTATGTGTGTTTTAATATTTATCCTGAAGGAAACGAAACCAGAAATAGGAAACATTTCTCTTGAGCAAAAACAAGAGCAGAGGTAGATTTCATTTTTGTTTAATACATTTCCCATTCATTGACTATATTTTATTATTATATTTTTTTTTACTACATTCGATAAATTCTGAAATATGACAAGTTTAACACGTCCGTCTGATCCATAGATCCCAGCCGTCGATCAGTCCTGAATTCAATCGATCAGTCACACGTCAATCAATCAGTCGGCAATCATTAATACCCTGAGTGTTAGTTATTCATAATTGGCATGAAACATGCTTCTGACAATTGACATCAATCAGCAATTCTTAACCCTTATGTAGATCCAGTCAGTCAATCAGTCACGAACTTGAGCACTTAAATCAATCAATCGGCAACCATTAACCCTTATGTATGTTATTTATATTCACTTTGAAGCAAAACATTTTGGTCACATTTCTTTCTCTTGTGAGAAATAAGACAATATGGTGTAGCCTTTATCGATTGATTGATTGCTTCTTGTTTTGTAAATTTCGATTGATTAACTTTTCAAACATGACATTACCTCAAACGTTTCCATCTGCTGCTGAGATACAGTTAGATCCCGTCAGTCAATCAATCAATCATGAAGTTGACCACCTAAATCAATCAATCGGTTATCATTAACCCTTATGTATGCTGCTATTTATATTCACTTTGCAAGAAACTTGGAAATTTTTCTCTTATAATTAAGAAGGGGGATTCAAACAAGCTCCCAAGCTTGATAAGTTTTTTTTTGTCTTTGTTAATTATTATTGATTTTTTTTTTCGAACGCTGAATATGACAAAGTTAAACATTTCTGTATGTCTGCGTGTGTGTGTGTGTGTGTGTGTGAGTGCGGATGAATGTGTGTGAATGTGTTTAGATTTTCTCGCCAGGTTTAGTGAGTTATTGGAAAATCTTGAAAAACTCGCCTCGGGGAGACAGAGCGCTCTTCAAACGACCCACACCGAACACTAGATACATTTTATTCATTTGTTTTTTTTTTCTTTCTTGAGAGTAGTCGACTAATTTGGCTTCCCTTCTGCCTTCCGCATTTGAAGAGTGCATTAATACGCTTAATAGTTGAATCGAAAACGAAAACAAAAACAAATACAAAAAAAAAGCACAAGCAAGCACAAAGAAAACACCGCCAACATTGCTTAGTTTAAACTAAATAAGTAAACTATAAAACCATAAATATATATATATATATAAATGTATTACGTATGCAATTAATATGATATGCTGAGCTAGAAACAGAACAGAAATAGAAACAGAGAAGACAACAAAAAAAAAAAAAAACAAACAGGATTTAGCTAACACTAACTAACTAAGTAGTTGCTTAATAGCAGAGCGAGGATATGCATTAACACCAATTCGGATGCAATAGATATATGAAATAGAAGAGTACAGAATACAAGAAAAAAACGAAGAAAACACACACACACATTTAACAATATTAACAATTTAAGGATGAAGCGTGACGAAACGTTTCCAATTTGTACTTTTAGCTATTTAGCTGTTTTTATTGGGCTTACAATATATATATATATATATAGATATATAAACAAAAACAACAATAACAATTGATGAGGTGATGAGGACCTGAGGAGGCGAAAAGCGCGCTCATTTCTGCAAACTACAAAAAAATGATTATTAAATGTATACAAAAATATATAATATATATATATATATATATATATTGAAATACTAGTGCATCATCATAGGGATTCTAGTATGAACGGGCGTTCATTTCAATTGCGATTCTAAATGTATTTTCAAAATGTTAATAACTAAATTCTAAAACCTAAACTACTAAAACAGGCTCTCGCTCATTAATAATAATCAATTGGTGTTTTATGCCCTATACCCATTGAATACGGTTAAATCGAACTGAAGAAGCGCTCATATCTGTGCCCAAAAATTATATATATATATATATATTTTTGCTCAGCCCAGTCGTTATATGTCCATGTCCGTCTGTCCGTCTGTCCGTCCGTCCGTATGCACGATCAGCTCTTAAACTTGAAGAACTTTGTCAAAATCGAAAATCGAAAACCCTTTTTCTGAGATACGAAGACTCGCGTTAAGATACGGAATATTTATCTTTAGCTCCGTTTCCACACAAATGTCCATGCAATATGCATGCGCTGAGAAATTCATAAAGCTCTGACAATAAACACGGGCTGGTATTCAGGGGAAGGGAAGAGAAAACAAGAAGAAGAGAAGAAGAGTGCTCTATTTAGAAGAAGAGAAGAAAAACTAAATAGAGCACTCTTATTTCGGGACTTGTAGTATGAAGAGAACATCTCTTTTAGAATTCAATTGAAATAGTAAACTGATTCGACGAATACCAGTATTATTATAATGCCAGTACTGGCCGGGCCTGTCCGACTAGTAGATACTCTATAACCGTGCTAGCTGTGTTTCTTCTTCCCCTAGTCTTTCACTATGGTAAATGCTTTCTACAATAACTGAGCTATTTGTTGTCCGATCTTTAAAAAACTTACAGGCATTAAATATGGCGTACAAAAGTGTCCATATACCCAGACCCAAGTTCAATTATTGCTTGTAACAGGGAAAGTTAGCCAAACAGAAAAATATGCTTAAAGTTTTGCGAGCCGTGCTCTTATCGTGTTGATATTACGAAAATGTGAGCAGCTATAAACCAGTTGTGAGCCACTTTCTGTGGGTTAAGGGTAAAAAAAGGATATAAAAACAAAAATGCCAACAAAATTTTGACAAACTCTGTTGGCATTTATCTATATTGAGAATCGGCGAGAAGGCCAATTGGTGTTCATACTTTATTTGTAAGCAAGTTACTTTCTTAAAACAATATGTTCGAGCTGCATTTACATACGTGTGTCTGATATATATATATATGCATATATACATATATAAATATATATTTATATATATAGATATATAGATCGAACGCAGCCTCGTTGTGTGTAGCGCCCGGTTTGCATTATAACCTTGAGCTTTATTTAACTAGCAAAAGCAAAGGCAAAAAAAAAAAAAACAAAAAACAACAAAAAACCATTTTAAATCACGACTGAATTTATGTGAACTTGCACTAAAAACAAAATCAACTAAAAAGATGAAGAAATATGAAATACGAAAAAAAAAAAAATAACAAAAAACAAAAAACAATACGGCGACGTTTGTTAGATATACGCATTATTAATGATACTTATTATGTATGTATATAATTTTAAAGTAAACTAATTTATACACTAAAAAAAGAAGAGAAGAAATGAAGAAGAAGATGATGAAGATGAAGAGAACAAAGAAGAGAAGAGAACGTCGCCACCTACTCGTACCCATTTTTGTATCCATTTTGAATTATTTTATGTGCATCTAAATGCAAGTTAGAATAATGCTTACAATTATTTGGTAGAAGCCCAAGCTGAAGCCAGACTCGAGAACACCTTTACATTAGCTTGTAAAGTGTGTGAAAAACCACAAGGAAAATCAAAACAGGAAAATCCAAAACTAAATGCAATGCAATATGCGACATGTTCTATAGCAATACGATGCAGATGTCACACACACACACATATATATATATATATATATATATATATAGATGTGGGCGTGGCATCTGCAACAAAATTCATCCAAAAATATATGTATGAATTATATTAATAATCAATTTATGTAAATCCCGATTACTCAAGACGGCTGCGAGCACCGTTTAAGCCCAACCATCTGTCACTTATTTACAAGTGGCAAATGGTTGGTGGAAAAAAGTTTGGAAAGCGAGTGAAAACGTTGCTGAAAACTCAAAAGCCCACATATACACATGTGTACATTCTCACATATGCGAGTATTTGATTACTTAACCACAATACTACTTATACATATAGAAATCAAATGTAAAGCCACACGGGGGCAAGCTTCACTGTGCTTGCAACTAACTATAATCAACCGAAATATCTGGAAGTATCTCTGCTCTCGCAGTGACAATATTTCAATAAATTAATGATCCCTTTTCTAAAAAAGCAACGTTTAAATCGTGTTTTAATACTTCTTTTTTAAATAATTAAATAATTATAATTAAAGTAAATAATACATAAACGAAAATCTTAGACAAGTCAACACAAATTAAACCATTTGGCTTTATTTTAAATCGAATTTAAATTAAATTAAAATTTTTTTTAATTTTACTAAAGCTTTAACCTGCAATCGATACAAAAAAACAAAAGTTTAAAGTTCCAAACCTCAATATTGTTTTATAAAATGATTATACAAAAAAAAAGAAAGAAAAACTCTTAACAAATTTGATTTCGCAATATGTACAAAAATTTGGATGAAGTTTTGGCAAGCTTGTTAAGGGTTAAGTATTTAGTATAAATTTAAGTAAAGCTTTGACAGAAAACAGCTTAATGAAAAGCTTCGTGTTGAAAGCCAGGAAAGAAGAGATTTAAGGGTTGAAATTGAGTATACATGTTTTGAAAGGGCGTGTCCTTGCGTAGGACTTTGCTTGTAAAGCTCTTTAAGCTTATTTTATGGAGTCAAAGCTTTTACTGTAAATAGCAAGTCCTCACACCAATTAAGCTGCTTGTCAACAAAAAGCACATGCCCGGAAAAAAGCTTTCCTATTAGGCAAAGGCCAATCATCGACCCAACCAATAGTGTATATATATTCATTAATTAATTTTTAATCTTTATTGAATTAATTTATGTTAAGCTTCCTATGGTATAAGCTTATCTATTTCCTATGTTTGATTTAAGCTCTTAATATTTTGTATATCCTTTAAATACTAGAC